TGTGGTACTGATTGCCGTCTACCAGCAAAATATGTGAAGTTTTTATTCATTTATTCCACGGGTTTTAAAAACATCATCCTGAATCAGTCGTATATCAGGGCAAATCTGATAAACAAATGAAGAACATATGATGTTTTCTTTATGATTGTTGTTATCACAGGAAAAGGAAGATTGTATTTATCACACGATTAAATTAAAAAGCTACATACTAGTATTTTACTCGCCCTCTTTGCTTAGTCAGTGGACCCTGCTGTTGACATCTTCACCTGAGGAATTTTTAAACCTTCAAGCAACTCAATGGAACAACTCGATGGATGAATCTTATAATATAAAGTTAATTGGTGAGAAAGTAAAAATGAGATTATGTTTTATGACCACCTTGTGAAAATTACAAGTTTGATAATAATAGGCCATTTGCAGGTTGGTTATTGAATGTGGATTCTTTTTTTATTGTTTTATTGCTTGGGGGACATAGAGCATTACAGAGATTTTGCTGAGCATGCTAACACCATCAAGAATCTACTTTTAGCCTAACTGATTACCTGCCTCTCATATTCTACTTGGTTTAATTTTAGCCTTTAAAAAAAATTCTTTAAAAAGAAACAGTGGGGGGAAAAAAATGGTATGACTTCATGTTGCACTTGGCAGGTCTGTTGTTTGGAGATTTTTGGAGAAATTGCCACCTGTTACAGGGCTAATTTTTATGCCCCTGAAGTTTATCTGGACTGTTTTTTACTTTGGGGTTTGGAGCACTGATCGGTGGCTCCATTATTAGCATTGCACAATCTGTAAAGTCCTTGCTTCAAGGTGTTACATGGTAAGTCAGTTCATGATTTGTATGTGTTTAAAAATAATGGAGAAGTCTCAGCAATATAGCTTCTAGAACAGGTGCCGACATATAATAGAATCATACGTTTCAGAAATTTTTAAATGATTGTCTGTAGAAATCTCCAAAATAGAAAAATAGGTGGTTCTACAACTTTTAAGGAGTGGAGATGTAAGTATAAGCCTAACCTTTATTGCTTGAAAGGAAAAGAAAGTGGGGGTAAAGTGGAACCCATGCCTAGGCCAGAAACAGCTATTCACTGCTAATGTCGTAACGTGCTACAAACGAATGTGTTACTTTCATCCAATTACAGTTACAAATATTTAATTACAAAGGTTCTCAGTGATTTCAACAATAGTTAGAGAGAAAAAAGAAAACTTGCAGCTTGAAGGCTGAAGAAAACGGTGGCGCGGTCTAGATGCGGACATTACTTTTACTTGCACAAAAGGACGAGAGGTCAATGGTGAAGTGAAAAGAGCATCCAGGACAGAAACAGCTACATTACAGGTAGCAAAGAACAGGGACGCCACTTAATCTTGCCATATGAGGGCCAATAAAAGTATTGCGTTGGCACAGCAAAAACAGAATTTCGAATTTTATTTTGCTGTTGTCATATACCTGAAAAATATGGCAAAAAAGAGAGAACTCAAAACTCTGCTAATGCCCACAATGAAGGCTCACCAATGTTCACCCATGCTAACCAACTCTGTGATGATACACTATGTGTAACATGCACATTTAAAGTGCACACATCATGCTTGATGACATGGCTAAAGACTAGATATAGCACCCTGTTTTTTTCCCATTATTATGAAGCCTCTTGTATTTCAGTGAGGGTTAAAGAGGCTTTCTTTTAGCAGGTGAGCTTCTGTGCTACATGACAGTTAGGCAGCCAGAATATGTGCAGTTACAAAACTTTCATATTTACACACTGTTTAACATGATTTTAGCCTAGATGGATACCAGCTAGCTGTTTAGGAGGAATCATAATCAGCAGAGTTGTTTCATGTATTTACTTAAGTATGGATGGGATGAGAAGTTTTCCCCGGGCTGAGAAGAATCTGGAGGTATATCCATGATGACGCTGACACTGTGTGAGCACTGAGCAACACCCGCCCTTTTGCACATGGACCACACAAAGGTCAAGTGTGTGGTGGTGACTGTCTGATGAATGCATTGCCTGCTTTCCAGGGGGGGAGAGGGAAAAAGGGGAAGTGGCTTTTCAAAGGTGACCACATTTCAGTAGAGGTGCGATGTTAAAAATAAAAAGCAATAATCGTTCTTTTCCCTTTTAAGGCTAAGCTTCTTTCAGCTTTGGTCCAGCCTCAACACCTCTACAGGGTTAGAAGAGGATCTAAGACTATAAAAATATTCAAAAGTGCCAGAGTTAGTTAAAAGAAACATGGGCTATTTGCAGATCCCGATAGCCCGAGATCGGATTTGTTCAAAATATCTCACTCTATCTTTTTCAATAACGTTTTAAATTTGGTTACAAACTCTTGATGCTCCTATGGGTACCTTGTTTTTCCTTCCCCTCATCCCTCCTTTTTCTCGCTCAGCTAATGAAGGTCTCGTAGCCCACTGTTATTAAAATTACGCCCTTGCCTCTGATATTAATTGGGTCCATAATAAGGAATGCGTCAGATTCATTATTTAATTGCAAGGGCACATTTGGAATACAGTTTCTGAAATGTATTTTTAATGAAAAACACTACATCCTGACCTAATCATATCAACCTTATTCTATCTAATTAAGGATGCAAAAAATCATTAGAGTTGCAAAATATTAGTTTCAGCTCTTTTGGGCTGCTCCTTTGCTCGCTTTCATGAATATATTTTTTCCCTGTCTATGATAAATAGTTAATGAGGGAAAAATGACAAAAATTTGCATGTAGTCAAATTAGTCTAATAGGGATATGTCTTTGCTGAGTTAGGAAAGTGACCCTTTTCATAGGAGAAACTGTTACAATAATTATGAAATAATGGTAAGGCCCATCTTATTTTGATGAAAAATGGTCTGCTTGAATAATGTAAAAATGTTAAAATGCAATAACCCTAAATTTTCATCAGACCAGAGAACGTGTTAACGTGTTAGCATTTTATCAGTTTAATAACATCAAATTAGGTATAATATGAAGTATGCTGTAATTGTTACCATGGAGGGGGATATGCAGTAATGCAAAGATGATTTAGCAGTGCACCACAGCAAGAGGCCATCAGCTGCTAAATGAGGCATTTTCTTAATCACAAACTTTGGGGATGTAATTTCTTTTAAAGTCTCCAAACAACGGAAGGCTCAATTTTCTTCCAATAAACAGGTCCATCACCATCCCATTAATGGCGGTGTAGTCACCTCTCAGAACAGGGGTTGCATTTCATTAAGGCATGAAGACCAATAAACAACAACAACAAAAAAGACTTTAGAAAAAGAATAGCATTTACACGATTACAATTATACTATCTGGTTTAGCAATGTAGTGTAAAACCATTTAAAAAGTGTATTTTTTAGGTCCTGCTGATGCAAAATGTATTCCTCTGTTTCTCTCACTTTTGTAGCTGAGTTTTTGTACAATTTTCTATCAAGAAGAATCCAGCTTTTCAAAGGTATCCATTCCCCTGTGTCTGGCACGTCACAATCGACATAGTTAAATACTTTGTTTAGGAAAACAAGATTTTGCATACAGTTTTGTCTTCATGTCTCCTGCTTCCTGTTGCACGTCCTGTCTTTTGTTTCAAAATAAAGTGTAACTACAGATTAAAAAAACCCCAACAAAGCATTGCATCATTGAGAGGAAGACACAAGTTCTAATGCCATGTTGACACAATCGGCAACAAGCTCACTTTGTTGCATCGTTCACCGCTGAAGTTTTGTTCCGTCTCTGCCTGTGGGGCTCTGTTGGTTGCTGCTTCACCCTGTTATTACTGCCCTGAAGAAATTCAGGAATGTTTAACTTTGCTTTATCACATGTCACACCTGTCACACGGTGACAAGTGTCAGGTATGAGATAGCAGCTTCATGTTGCCTTTTTCATTGAAACGAAATTCGCTTTTCCCCAGCGCTGTGAACGCAACATAATGAATGCAGTCCTGCTTGTAGTGTAAACTTTGTTACGACACGGTTTGACGCGACTTTGATGTGTAGTCGTTCAGATATTAACTGCTACGACCCTCAAAAACTACATTTTGGTTTGGCCCACTCTGTTTTAGTTCTACAATTAGACAAAATAATGCCTCACTTCCCAATGCGCAGACCATCTTTCACCACAGTCCACTGCAGCCTCTCATCCCGTTGCCTCACATACTTATTTGAGAAAAGAGCAAGGGAGTTAATGAACATGGAGAACATGTAGCGAGCAGTGTGCTACTAAAATACCCTACAGAATAAATTAAAGGGGGCTGCAGTTTGATCGCTGCATTCTATTTCCCTTATCTCAACAAGTCACATTTTCAATCACTATGCAAAGATTTTACATCAGGGGTAGGCTTTGTGCTAATACACTGCCCTCTCCTGTGCCACCATCATCGACCTACACGGGGCTGGGCCACATGCGTCATCCTCTCCCCCGTGATAGTAATTTCATGGGGACAAGCATTTATTTCAGCTGCCTTAGATGATTTCGAAATGTCCGCAATAAGGGAATGCCCACTATATCTCACACACGCATTCCACTGTGTGTGTTGATTGAGCAGTCTCTCTTTAATGAAATATCTTCGAAAATTGGTTTCCACAGACTAATCAGGCTGCCTGTTAGCTGAGTTTCTGTTTTGGTAATTATCTTGTACTAATTAGAACGGAGCTAAAGACCTCTGAGATGAATTCTCAGCTTTCTCAAATGTAACTAAAGAAAATTTAATGATATAAAATGAACCTATTCTATACATCCTCTCGGATGTAATATCTCCTTTAAAGTGACCAGTGAATGCTAACCCTGTGTTATCTTGGCTGCCTTTAAATGCTTCTGTTAGTGCCTCACTGATCTCACCCAGCTCAGCACTTTCATTGAGCACCTGCACCACGGCAGAAGACCTTATTGGTTACAAACACCACAGTTAATTCCTCCCCTTTGACCAGGTTAATTGAAAAGACTAGTATCATTAGCCCAACAGGTCACTATTGGTTTAATTACAATGCAATTTATTTAGAGACAGCAAAGGAGACCAATAATGTATCTACCTTGCGCCTCTCTCCATTGAACCCTCTCCACTGCTCTGCTTTCTTGACAATGTAGCTCAGTTCCTGATTGGACAGCTCAAGGTCTTGAGGCAGGAAGAATACCCCCTCCTTGGCGGTGAGTCGCTGAAAGACATCCAGCATGCGACCATCATTGTGGAGTCTGGAAGGTGTGTGGTGAGAAAAAAGAAAAGATTCAGAAATGTAAGACGGCGCAACAAAAGCAGACTGACTGGAGATCTTAGAGAACGTTTTTGACTAAACACAGCCTTTTGTAATAAAATACTGCACTGCATTCCTGATACAAAAAATATGGCTTCATATCTACATTTTAGCGTTATAATTTTTTAATTGCTGGTGGCAACTCAAGACTGATAAGAAGCTCTTTGAGCACATGAGAATATGCCCGACAGTGGCACGAGATTTAAAAAATGGCGACTTGCTATATGAGGGTACTTAGCCTGCAAATACAGCAGATATTAAAGAAACACAGAAGGGAATGGGAACTTCCCAATGACAGGGAATGAATGATGGCCAATAAAGTATACAGCGGTAACTGTACTGCCCACCACAGACCTAGCATTGTAAAGCCACACCTGGCCCTTTGGTTGTCCCTGACCAGCCCATGTTTGGTCAATCGGATTCAAATGTAAATACATGCATCATGTTGTTTTTCCTATTTCACCCATTAAACACTCTTTTTTATTGGAAATATTTTGAAGAGGATTTCTCTATGTATGTACATACATGTCTGCAAGGGGATATAGCTTCACTGTAAATGCACTGGAGCAGACAGTGATGAGAAATGTCAGATCACGGCAAAAAAAAAAGAATGACTGATGCAGAATGAATGTGGAGTTTTTGACAGGCCACGGACTTCTAAGTATTTATTTACTGAAGTCAGTAAAGCTATGTCCTTAGTTTTTGTCGAGCACATTGCTGTGTTTAAGAATTACATTTAAAATTGCCATTATGAGACTAAACACACAGAGAAATACAAGAACCTGACTGATGCAGCCTAGAAACCTTTACTGGCAAAGCTGCAAAAGCAACAAAGACTTTTTACTCAGATTTACGCCTTAAATCATCAGACTTTACTGAAGCATTATAACACAAACACAACTAATGAGTGAAATTACTCGTTTATGTTATTTCTACAAACACGTATGTATATCAATTTAGGAGTCACTGGCAATTAACCTGCTTTACCACTGACGTATGAGAACATGTTGCTTGTTTCATTGCCACCAAGAACCAATCTTTTTTTTTTTCTCAGTTTGTTATTAAGAATATTAATTGCGCTCATTAAATCATGGTCGCTGGTTGTAAACAAGTGCACCTATGAGAAATGGAGGCTGGAGGATGGTGAACCAAAAAATGTTTCCACTGTTGCAGAAACATGTAAAATGCGGTGCGTAATTAAATATATACGTTTGTTATTTCATAGGTTACTGCAGTATATGCCCTCAAAAGTTCCAAGAGCATTTGAAACATCACCTTTATTCACACATACCTAGAAAAGTTCATATGAAACCTATTTTTGGTTCCAGAACACAGACGTTGTGTGGATCTGCAGCTTGCAGAAATGCACAGGGCCAACTTTTTATTCTGACAGCTGGGTTGGATGCTCTATAAAAGTCTAATACATCAATTGAAACAGCAAAAGGAATCAAACAAATTGGCCTGTGAGTGGGAAGTATTTTGTGGACACAAGCTGAGTGTAGAAATGTCTGAGTTTGGCTGGGTGTCTGCGTGGTTGCACAAATATTAATGTGTGGGAGTCGGATCCTGGGATGTTCTTCAGTGTTAATGCTGTGCTTCAAAGATGGCAGATACAGTGGACGTGCTGGTTGCAGATGCATCTGGAGAGCCCGGCTTGAGTCACAAGAAAATTTTCTGCCCAGCAGAAGGCATATTGATTCATACCTGCATATGAGTACGCATCACCAAAATGCTATTTTTCGTTTGCCACATGCAGCCAACCCCTAAAAAGAAACACCATGTCTGTAAACAAATGTCTTGGCTGACCATCAAAACCAACAGACCTTGTGCCCTTCCACAGAGATTCTAGCCTGTCAGAGGGTAATCAACTCTCAAATAAAACCAACATCAAGGAGGCAAGGATTTATACAAGAAGCTGGTACGGAGCTTTGAACTCAGCATCATTCCCCATTGCTCTTGGGAATGGGATGTTTGTAGAATCTTGACCTCAGACACAGGAATAGCATGCATTCATTTTAATCCTACACTTGAATTGTGCTTCTCATTCATTTATGCGGTTTCTCTCTTGGAGGAATTCACCATCTTTGCATCTCTGAGCTTCAAAACGGGCTAATTTCTTTGGTGTGGAAAAGGCCTGAATTTAAGTATGTAATTCTTTACCATGTAGGTTGTGATCTGGATGACAAGGCTCATGGCAGGTCTTTGTTTAAGCACAAGGTTCACGAGTTGATGTCAGTGGATGAAAGGGTCAGAGAATAAAACACAAATGATTTGTCTTTCTAACGTATATGTTAGTATTATCTCACCCAAAGGTTTTTCTCACTTTGGTTGCTCTGTAGTGTAGTGGTTTACACATTTGCCTAGCAAGCAAAAGATGGGAGGTGACACAAATCCCTTTGGGGTTGCATCAAGAAAGGCATTCAGTGTGAAAACTGCTCAATCAAACATGCAGAGATACCCACTGTGGAAACCCTTAGTGAACAAAGGAGCAGTCAAAAGTAGCTTAAACTGTATTTCTCAATTTACAGAATGTGTGATTTATTTTAAAGGATCCTATCAAACTAAATTTAATGGAACAGAAGGATTCAGTGCAAACAAAGATACCTTCTTATCTTGTTCCATCAAAAACAAACTTGCAAACCTCTTCTAATGAAGAAGGAAAACTGATAAAGAAACTGATGAAGTAGACACTTGCAGTAACTGAAACAAACAAAGTTTTTTTTCTTTTACAGTCTTGCAAAAATGTTGATGGAACTACCACTACACTACTACTTTTATAGCTGCTCATTTTGGTTTCCATAAAGGGTCAAAGAATACATACGTGTATTTTTGCAGGCAGTGAATAAAAGCTTCCTAAATGTAATTAAGAAAAAAGGATAACAGTCCATTCTATCTATACATACGGCCTGGAGCATATTTTTTAGAAATAGGTCATGGTCTGTGTCAGAGCCCCTTCCTTGTAGCCAATAGGAAATTGTAACCCATAAAATTATCAGCCTTGCTTCAGCCTCGTGGCCTACATTCAGTACAAACCCGTGTGGCTGCTGAGTGGCAGAAGTCATTATTCCCGGCTGCTGTTTTAATATTGTCCATTTAGTCTGATCCCGATAAGCGTCTCGCTCACTGAAATTAGATGGCACCATCTCCTTGGCTGCCAATCTCAAACTGATTAATTCAATAGGCGCTTTCTTACATTTTAAGCTATTAATGGAATTTGGTCGTATGTTAGAGTGAGAGAACACACCTTGGATGAATACTGAGTTACACTATTCAGTAATTTATCACCTGCCTGCCTTTAAAGTGAGTCCTATATTGCAAAAAGTCTGTCAAATCAAATGCCTTTGAATGTTTGAGAAAGAGCAGTGTTTGTTTTGCCTGGGCTTTCGAACTAATCAGCAAAAGGTCTATAGATGACATGAAAAAGCCATCCGAGTTGCCAAATCACAATGCAGGCTAGCAACCAAATGTTTCAACATGGCTGACCTCAATCTGCAAGACATGAGTGGAACACACAGTGCATTAAGATAGAGTATGTGTGTTCATCACCATCCGCACGCCGTCCTTTTCAATATGTATGAAACCTGCAGTGATCCCAACCATGCAAAACACCCAGCCTAATCGGATAAAGTAAGGGGGTTCCATATTCACGCTATATCAAAACACATCTAACTTTTGAATTAGAAATGATTTCCATTTTCCAGTGAATTGCAGCGAATGGTATGTTCAGGCAATCTAGCTGTGTGGTGCGTGTGTATATTCCTGATTCTGTGTTTAATAAGTTTGTGTATGCTTGTGTATGTGAGCCTTTGATGCATAACTCCATCAGTAATTCCCTGCAACTATAAATTCAAAATAAATTACATCAACATCTGTTTATATTTTTGATTTTTTTTTGTTTACAGTTTTTTTGTGGACAGAAAAGGTGAATAAATACTTGATGAAGGGTGGAACAAGCAGGATAGTAACATTTAGATATACTGTATTATTATTAACTGGTGCTATACTATCCAGTCGTTAAGTGATGACGTGACGAATCCTACTTCCGGGCCTAAAGTAGTCTGCGTTTAATAAGGCCTGGAGACTAGCCAGCAACCCCTGTCAACCTCTAGTCCTTAAAGAAAAATGTGTATTTCCGGTTAGCAAGTGGTTGCTGGAAGTTGCTGTTCAAGAAGAGGTATACAGTCCTACACAAGAAACATCTTCATGATTGTTTTGTTGCTAGCAGATTGCTGTTTCCACCTGCAGTTTGCAAGTTGCAATCAAGTTTCACTACTCCTCGAGGAGCAGTTGGCCAGTGTTTGTAGGCAGGTAGCTGACTTCCAACTATAGGTGGCCACAGCTAGTTGCTAGCTGTATTTTAGCCGTGTGATTACTAGCAACCGAAGCAATCATAAAGAGATTTTTAATGCAGAAACTTTAGCAACCACTTCTTAACCACTTGTTAACAATGTTTCCCTCGAAAATAGAGGTTGTCAGGAGATCACTTACCTGTCTCTAGGCCGGTGTGACTGAGACCCAAAGAAACCAATTTCAAAATGTCATCGTTCTGATTTACTAAATGGGGAGGAGGTAAGGTTTGGACGATTAAGGGCTGGTTGTGCATTTGTGTGCTGTGGGTTGCGGGGGTGTTATAGGTTTTACTGCAGTGGTTTTATTGTCCCAGCTCACTTGAGATCAGATTGACCTACATGTAGCCCCTGAAACAGAATTTAAGGCAGACTTATTTGTGGGTGTCTCATAAAGATACTTTGTATTTAATGCCACAGATACAAGTGGCATTAACAAGTGATATAACTTGTTTTCAGATTCAAAACAAAGTTCTTGTAGATGGTTGACTTAAACCAAGCCAGCAAGTATTAAATACGTTTATTGTACATATTATATACTAGGAGCATACCGAAAACAGAAACAAATTAACATTCAAAAATACATTCATTTTATCTCTAAAATAACAAGAAAATATTTGAGATTTATTTTAATGTTAATGCCAGTTGCTTCAAAACATTTTGTGTTTAAGATAATGTAATTGTTTTCTTGCTATATTTGGTATTCTAACTGTGTAGCTCACCTGAGCAGGTACATGGAAAGGATGGTGATGGAAAGGAGAAAAACGACAGCATAGAGGAAGAGAGTGATGATCACCCCCGCTGCACCTGATTTGTCAGCTTGATAGAAGTGCCAATAAAGCTTGGCAGCATCCCCCACTGGTGTGTCAGGACTGTAGGAGAGGCGCTAAGGAGACAAGGATTAAAAATAAATAATAAGTAGTTTCCTATAACTGTGGATGCAGAAAATCTCTTTTTCTAAATGAAGATCATAAGACAGTTCACGGATTTTCTTTCACATATTTCAAAAGTCAAAATATAACAACGTTTTCTCTCCCTTTTTACGTTTAAGTTGCTGCCTACATGAAACTGCAGCAAGAAATGTCCAATCCATTTCAGTCACCTTACACATCTAACCCGCTGCCAAAAAAGACACCCATCCAACCTTGCACATTTTGCTTCTCACCCTCTCTGCACTCTTTTTTTTGTAATCTAAAGTCACTTTGCCAAGATAAAGTGAACTCCTATTTAAAGTGCACAAGTGTCCAAGTTATTTTTAAGTGACTTACCCCGAGGATGGCGTCCACTGCAAAGACTGCCAGGGGGTCGAGGACTGTCCACACTCCCTGAGCCATGATAAACTTTGACGTGAAGGAAGGGAGTGAGCCAAATATCTGTTGACAGCCCCATCTGATCAGAACCAGCAGGAACGTTATTGCGTTCAAGGTCAGGGGACCCACCACCACCATTGCCAGCTCCTCCCGGGTGTGGAGTAAAGAACTCTGGTACACGAGGTCCACCGTGTGTGCGTGGAAGTGGAATCTGGTATGAGAGGAAAGTGTCAATATATGTGTACCATATTTGTGCTTGTGATGCTTTGCAGCTCAAGGGCAGCTGTTTCCAGCAACTCCATATACTGTGTTATAGTATTTGTGGCTAATTCACTCAAATGACTTTGATGGCATTATGACTGACTGTTGTTAAGGAAACCTTTATACCTATTACTATCATAAAAGACACTAAAGATGCAAAGGACACTAAAAGTAAGAGTATTACCACCTTTGCTGATACATGGCAGAGCTTATCCAAGCCCGTTGTACGTTAAACTCCCCATTTACAGCAAGCCTCATGAGTTCCTTAATCTTCCCATCAGTCAGGAGGAGGTAGAGCCAGTGGTGGGAGAGGAGGGGTCCAGTTTTCTCTCATTAATTTCCATCTGATTTGCTCCAAGAGTCAAACATCTCTCAGATTCTGTCCATTAATCTGACAGTAGAGGTCCATTGGTGTTTCATCTGAAGCAAATCTCTCAAGAGATTCAAGCCCCAAAAAGTCATTTCAGAGAACAGAGATTAACTCTCTGGATGACCGGTAAAGACAAGAGACTTTGATGTGTTATTTTTTATATTTCCAGACAAAATTATAAGTAAAAATCTTAAGATCTCTCTCAAATGCTTCCTATTATTTTGGCACAAAATAAGAGACATTTTGTGCTATAATTAAAGTACATTTAGTTAAGTACAACTTTGACATACTTTTTCTGTCCTTGAAGAATGTGATTTATGCTACACTCTACTTCTGATCGCTCTCTTAACAGATTACATTGAAAAACATATTTAATAAGCACAAAAATATTATACTGCTTATGCCTACAGTATATGTTTACTTATAATTCAGGATATTCTGAACACAAGATGTTTAGTACCTTAGACCAGTGTATTACTGCTTTGTAACTTGAGTGAGTAAAAGAAAAGAAGAGAAGAAATGAAGCACTCATAGATGACTGTAGAAGCACTGAAGGCCAGGGACTTTTGCTGTTGGGGACTCTTTGCAGGCCAATGATGTCCCGGGATGGATTATGGGAAGGGAGAATGCAAAAACAAACAGACACAGACGTAGAAAGAAAGAAAAAGGAACGAGTGTGAGATATAAGGGTGAAGCGAGGTATGCCTGTCATCATGCCAACCGCTCTGACTGTCACTTAGTCTCTCTCTCCCTCCCTCTCAATGGGCATCATCAGCTCTGACCATTGCATGGAGAGAGAAATGCTTGGAGGGAGAGCAGCAGATTTGGACATGTGGAAGTTGTCATCCAGCGTTGACCCCCTCTGTTTTCACATTTTTGTTTTCTATCCGCCCCCTCAGTCCATTCTTTTTTCCTTTTTTTTTCACTCAGCCACATTTTTTTTTCTTCCTGAGCTCTCCTCCATCACTTTCCATGATGTTTGCGCCCCTGAGTTATTGTAATAAAAACCTGGTTGTATGCATGTTTGCAGCCAGCCCTTTTATTGTGATGAATTAAATCAGCACCATATGCTATTCCAATGTGATTTAACAGTTCTGTGGCATCTTATTGCTGTTTATTATCAATGCTGCGTACCAAATAATAACAATAAATTCCTTCCAAATAATGTAGCCTTTTGGGACTTAAAGCTGTGTGGTGAGCAAACTCCCCCAGCAATGGTTTGTTAATATTGAGAAAGTCTTGTTAAAATGTTAATGGGGGGATTCCAAACAGATGATCTGGGTGTATCAAGCCTGCATTTGCCAACACACACACCAAGACACTCACAGCACATCCTCATCCTCTCAGCTTGTTGTCCTCTCCGCATCGTATTTTCCCATAACTGTACACCGCATGTGTGTGAGCCTACATTCAGGTCATGTTATGTGTGGCCATGCTAATGAATTTACAGTATGGTAATATGCTACTATTATCTGGTATGTGTCAGTCCTCCGTTTTTATTAATGGATTTATGTCAGCAGCAATGTGTGCGCTTGAAAAGTTTTGCGCGTCTGTGTGTGTATTCATGCGATCCTCTTCCATGCATGTGTGTGTGTGCAGGGCAATATCAAAGGAAGCAAACTCACTTGTTGACAGGAACTGCTATGGCCTGGAGGTAGAGCCACTGGCTGCAGTAATGCAGGTAGAGCCTCAGAAACCACATCAAAGCCAGCAGCAGTATAATGAGGCCGAGCTGCTGAACGGAGCCATGCCAGCTACTATGCAGTTGTTGTTGTTGCCGCAGCAACGGCAGGCCCAGCTCAGATGGCAGCATGGAGAGAGCCAGACGCGCTCGGTCAGACAGACACGGAGGACAGGAGCCAGGTCCAGTCAGTTGTGATCTGTTTTCATAAGAGGAGGATCATACACACTGTACATGACTATCTGAAGTTTTCTTCAGCATTTCTTTTTTTTTTTTAGACACTGATACTATTACTCAAGTATGTAATTATGTGAGTTCATTACTCAGATTTCCTCCAATGAAAGCATTGTAATGTCTTTTTTTCTCATTAATTTTACATCACACTTTCAGGCTGGATAAGAACGTTCATGCACAGGTGACCACATAAAGCAAGATTACTGAAACAGAACAAAGGTGTTGACTTTGTTCAGTCGATTTGGAGGTTATGACAATCACTTTGAATAATGATGCAAATCCTTCCTCCTCTTTCTGTTGCATACTATTCAGAAGCTTATTTCCATCACGACAGCCATGCAGTAAACATTAAAGGTAGGGAAATGTAGTATTCAAACTGGCACACACACGCATACAATTGCCAACATATACACAAGTGCTCTCTCTTTTTTTCCCCCTCACTAACACACCAAAGACACGCAAACAGATAGGAATCCCTTTCAGCGGTGCTCAGCTTCCCTCAGCACCTCTGCCTCCTATGTGCCGCCCTTTGTCAGGCCTGCTCAACTATTCCCTTTCATAAGGAGTGCACAGATGGAGCAGTGGAGGCAGGAGCAAAGGAAAGGAAAGGAAAGGAAAGGAAAGAAAAGGAAATACCCTAACATAAAAACCTGACATTTCACATTTGTGTATAGGTAAATTAGGTGTGCATTTACAACATTCGTTGACTTTTGTTCAATATAATTTGCACATGTCAACAAGCAGTGATAGTGATGACTCCTAGCATTCGCCTGATAGTAATTAGAACAAGACTTAAAGTAGGTGTTTACAGTAGAGCTATGGCGAGGATCACACAATGTGACTTAAGGCATATGCCTGTGGACATCCCCATGTCTCACCACTGTGTCCCAGAGCACAGTTGGAATTCACTTTGTAGTGTGTATCTAGGGAAAATGGTACATTGCCTAAAGACGAAAAACCGAATCAATTGTATTGCTCTCTCACCCCCATTACCAAATGTGGGCTAGACTTGCATCAAAATGTACAAGTGCATTGTGTTCCCTGCTTCTACTAATACGAAAATGTGGAGCCTCACATAGTTTTGTTCGAACCCAGAGATAATTTTGGCCGTCGCTGTGAGGTGTGAAGTGTGAAATTATCTGAAGTTGAATCAAGTTTCCTCAGTGGATGCTATTTAGAGCAGTGGTATATTTTGCTGTACATGTGGGAAAAGTTGGAATTCATTGAAAAAAAAAAAGGTGCTCAGTCAAGAGTTTGGGCTGATAAATGTTCGAGCTTGGCTGAAATAACATTTATCCTGTTGGGCTAAATGTGTCATGAAAGTCTGTTATCACTCAGCTCTCTGTTTGAGATCTTAAACTAAAGTATACTCCACTGCGAATAAACTGCGTGTTTCCTGTGTGAAACCACTGGTTGCTCATGCACACAGAGTAAATATATATATTTATTCAGCCAAAGTCTTTGTTTACTATCACTGAAAAAGATCCAATTCAGTGCTTTTATACAAGATTTGGAGTTAAAACGCAGATAGAAAGATGATGTCTTAGCAAACGCATCTCATGCTTCTCCACAAAAGCACTTCCAGCTTTATCGCAACTTCACTGTGTTGTACAAAAAATGCTCTCCAAATCCCTGTAAACGCAGTGTGTCGCAGACACAGGCGAGATGCTACCCTGTCAACTGGCATCGCGCAGAAACAGCAAACACAATCTGACGTCCATCTTTCATGTAATGAAGATATTGATGATGCATGAAAGAGGAATATTTTTAGACGTCTTCACGAAGCGGCCCCTTCTAAAGGAAACCGGTAACATGATGTGAAATCTGTTATCCCGACTGAATTGATTTCATTATGGCACCTCCAATTACAAAAGTATAATACAGAAAAATAGGGGAAGGCAGCAGGCGGACGTGTGGGATTTTTATCTCGCAGGGATGAAGGATGTTTCATTTCAATATCACAGCCTGTCCTCTGAATGGCTGATAGTATGTGGCACAGTGGCCAAGTGATGAAACCAACCATTTCAACAGGCATGCATGGGACATAATACTATATTTTAATTGTAGTTTTAATGCTTTTGTGAAATCTGGGCCAAAAGCTGTTTGCTCATTATCTTAGTTTTGATATGTTTGTTCTTCATACCCGTGTCATCAAAGCATATTGCAAAAGGACTCATCATCCACTCCAAATCTTTCCTGAGTGTGCCAAGGCCTGTAAATCAGATTTAACTAGCGTGTTTCTGTCAGAAGCATCTCCTGGACTGGTTTTCCCAGGCTGGTGTCCCTTAATGTTGTACGCTATGACAACAAACAGACGCTACGCTCTTAAAAATAGCACAAAGCGAAAAGCAAGTAGTGACATGCATTATACCTTGAAGACGGCACGGGTAATACGAGATGGAAGGGTGGATGGGGGAGGGAGTACAGTGGGGTGTTCCATTTAAAATAGCACACTTATGGTGTGAAGGCTCCAGGGCTGTAGGGAGTAAAGGTAACCCGCAGATTCCCTCTGCGTAGCCCCGATGGCTTAAACCCTCCAGTGTCAGACCACTTAAAGTCTTGGACTTATCCCTTTATTCGGAGGATTAAGATATTTTCTGTCACTTTCTTATTTAGGCCACCGGCATTGTTTTTAAATTCCCACACTTCTTTTCCCACCTAGTCGATGAACGGTTTGCTGTTGGGGAAACAGAGAAAGCAAAAAAAAAAAAAAAAAAACCCACTGTGAAAATAGACTTAAGAGATTGACAGATAATGTAATTGTTTTCTTAGTGGCCCAGATGCATAAGTGTTGTGGTGATTATGGAAGTGTGATTATCTCTGTCAAGAGATAGGACTCAAGATACCACATCTTTGTTTATATTTCATTTTTGAGGAACGCTGATAATGCATTTGTTTTGAATTAGGAGTGTATCTGTCATCTGTCCTACGTGCGTTACACAATCAGGTCTAAGGCGTTGCTAGGGCTTGGAACGTGGTGAAAGGATTTTGGTAATCTGAAAGAAACTTATAGGTCATCATGTCAGCCTTGTCACCTGTGTTTGCAGTACCCATGTGATACATCGAGAGCTTAGAGGCATTGCTGGCTAATGACGGTTGCAGACACAGGTAGTGGCAAAATGCGTTTAACTGGAATAAAACAAAGAACGCTGTCTATCAGCCAAGAAAAGAGAGAGCAAGTAACTCAGAGAACAATTAGTGAGGGGATAACTGTGTATTTAAAAGTGGTGAGAGCGTCCAGAATAAAACTTGTGCTTTAAGTGGTCTTTCACAAATTTGATTGGCATTGTATATGTGCATCAGTATGCTGTCAGTGTAGATAGTTATGATGGGGCATGTAGAGGGGAAGACCTAAGCTACTAGAGTCCACAAAGCTGAATCAAAACATACCACAGGCATCACACCCAAAGCTGCGAGACTAAACACCTATATCACTTTAGTCAGTCAGTCAGCCCAGCAACAGCATCCAGCATCACTGTCTTAAATTACAACAAAACAAACACAATATGATAAACAAAATGAATAATAAAAGTAATAAATCCTCTTTTGCTTTAGATGTTAAACTAAATGGCCTTTTTGTTTCAATGTTTTGAAACATACTTGTGTAATGTTAACCAGCCATTGCTCACTCCGGGCATGAGATATCTATCATTTTGTCAGAACATTGTTACATTTTACAAGTTGTTGGCACCCAAAAGTAGTTGGGAGCGCTTTGGCTTCTTTAGACTAACTAATTTAGCCTGGCATGCCACCTGCATAATCACTGTTACACACAAAGTAGACACACCAAGGCACTCCCTGGCCTCCCACAGCTGGATACTCCACAAAAACGGGTCCCCAACAGATTATTACTTGTTTCAATTGAATCGCTGCCAAAGCCATCACTGCTCCAGCTTCTTATGTCTTGCTTTTCATTTAACACTTTTTTTTTGCCTTTTGTCCCTGGAAACCAAAGAAGTGGATGTTATCAGTTATATTTGAATACTAATAATTATTTTGACATTTGACTCTAATGCAAGTGATCCTGAAAAGCTTGAAAAGTTCTTGAAGCTGTTTTGCATTTCATGCAAGTGGTTTCTTTAGTTCTGTAGGAGATCTATAATGCGAGTGCAAAAAAATCACAATAAAGAATTATTAACTAAAACTGCCAAATAAGTTTCAGAAGTTTGTGTAAATAAAATTCACGTGTATGCATTTCAATTATGTGAACAAACGTATTTATTTTTAAATTTTATTCATGCAGAAGTACAGATGTTTATTGCAGTTCTGGCACTGAAGCAGTGCTTTGCACAGGTGGGCCAAATATAATGCACGAAGCTTACAAAGTGGAAACCATAAAGAAACACGTTCCCACAAGATGTATTAAATGATAATTATTGGTTTCTAAGCTGGTATCATTTTCCAAAGCACCTCGAACGTGTATGTGTGTGTGCACAATAACAACTTGGACAGAGCATCTCTCTGTGCCTGTAAGGCTTTTAGATAATTGAGTCATTTTATATCATCTTGTGAGAACTTTTATTTATACAAGGAAAAAAAAGAATCAGAAAGCATGAAAAAAAAAATGCATCGGATACAACTTTGTGCTCACTCTTTCTCTCGTACTCCCTCCTCTCATTTGTTTTTTTTCTTTGCTTTATTTTTTTCCAAGTGAAACTACCTTAACATGTTGAGGTTTTATAAGCACATTTATTTATTTATTTATTTTGCAAATCTGCCAAAGAGTATATACATACCCTAAACGAGCTCCATTGACAAAACTGGAGCACAGTGGCAGGTATTTGGAGTCAATTGCCATGTAATAAAACCTGTACACATCAGAATTAAAAATCAAGCCAATTACTTGCAATTAAACAGAAGTTATGGAGAACAGAATTTTAAAAAGTAAAAATATCTATGATACATTTATAGATGAGAGGTATAACAACGGCTCTACAAGTCAAACCATGTAACCGTCTCATATCT